ATCTCTTATATTAAAAAATAAAACTTATTATGAGTTTAAGCACGTTAATTATTATTATTATATATAAAGTGTTAAACTTTAATCAAATAATAATAATTAACGTGCTTAATGTACAAAAGTTTAAGAATACAAATTACAATAACAGCCGGTAATAATAAATATTATTTATTTGATATTAAAATTGTCTTCTATTTTGCTAGATAATTATGGATGGCATCCAATTAATTCAGTTATTTCAAGTTCATCATCAACAGCCTATAAATGCCCACTGCTGAGCAAAGCCTCTTCTCACACGGAGAAGGTTTGAGCATTAATCACCAAGCTTGCTCAATGCGGGTTGGCGATTTCAAACTTATAATTAGAAATTATAAGTCCAGGTTTCCTCACGATGTTTTTCCTTCACCATTTGTCAGTGGTGTCTAAATAATCTTAGAAAGTACATATAACTCGGAAAAAGTCACATTGGTACTTGCCGTTGGTTATTTCAAGTTGATTTTTATAATTTAATAAAATCGTACCTAGGTACTTACCGACGGTATGACACCGCCATTTTTAATATCGTTTGTATTACTGCTATTTTTTGTACGCCAAAACAGCACAACACGGCATACTTAGTTGTTTTTTTTTAGGGACGAGTGCCTTTACCCTTTGACAGAATACGTCTATGAATCGTAATTATGAAACGCTTGGCACGCCTACAACCCATTTCTCCTAGTTTTTAAAATTCCATGATTGTTAAATAGTGACTAACTTTGTAGGTACTGTAGAAGTATAGATAGGCCGTTGCCTTTTTGTCCTGCAGTGGAACGATCATGGCTGAAACCACTGAGGTATATCTCCCAACTACTTTTGTGAATTAATCCGATTTTTAATATTTGTACACTACCTTAAATGAATCGGTTAAAAATAAACTCATATACACGTAATTAATAAAAATTATTGGGCTGTTTCGTGAAGTTGAAAACTCTGTTGACGCTACTCACCGCCAGAGCGCGCTGTCCCAGCTACCACAGGTTCAGTAACAGAATTAATAAAAACCTATCGAATATTGAAAAAATGTACAAAGAGTTTATCATGTCATGTAAACTTTGTTCCTTTTTTGCACTCAGCTGAGGATTAAGCTGCAAAAATGGGTTTCGACGCACTGCAAAATATTATTCGCATTTGCATTTGTAAAAATGTGCTGTGAATTTTGTCCACAGAAATGTTGTTAGTAGCTTTGAATGGAATATAGATATGAATGGATGTCTGGCCAAGGTATTAACTGTATTGGTCTGTCTAATACCCTACTTAGACACTTGACTGTCGTAGAGTTTATTTTATTTGTTTCATTTTTAGCCATGATCGTCCGACTGCAGGGCAAAGGCCTCCCTACCCTCCTTCCACTCGTCTCTTCTTATAGCTTTCTGTGGCCAATCCTGTCTTAGAATGTAGATAAAAAACCAAGTATGCATTGTACGTACCTATCTTCGACACTTTAGTGTGGATGGTTCATGAAAATTAACATAGGTTATTTAATTGATTGTAGTTTGTATGAACTTTCATAACAAGAAAATAAAATTAATAAATACTAGCTGACCCGGCAAACTTCGTATCGCCTAAAAATCTTTTTCTCACCTTTAAATCTTCCCTGGACTTCCACGTGTAATTCAAGAACTAAATTAGCCCAATCGGTTCAGCCATTCTCGAGTTTTAGCGAGAATAACGACCAGAAATTTTACATTAGGTTAATTAGATGTACATACAACTTAAATTACGGAACTAAAATAAAATACCCTTAATAGGTAAATGTAAAAAAAAATCCGGACAGTATATCTAATTAAATACATATATGCAGTACTTTTCTAACTCCTGATTGCAACAGCACCATGTCCACTTAATAGGTAAGTATCTCTTTACATCACAAGGAACCTCGACGCAATGTGAAGCTCCCCTTATTAATAACTTTCATAATTAGGTACTGACATCACCAACAGCCTATAATTAAAGGTCCACTGCTGAGCAAAGCCTCTTCTCACACGGAGAAGGTTTGAGCATTAATTACCACGCTTGCTCATTGCGGGTGATTGCCAACTTATAATAAGAAATTATAAATCCAGGTTTCCTCACGATGTTTTCCTTCACCGTTTGTCAGTGTTGTCTAAATAATCTTAGAAAGTACATAGGTATAACTGGGAAAAAGTGACATTGGTACTTGCCGGTGGTAAGTTTCGAATCCGTACCACCCTCTTGCATGAGAAGTGGGCGCCTTAACCTCCGGGCCACCACGACACAATTATTAACTACTTAACTATGTACATAATCTGTACTAATATTATAAAGAGGAAAGATGTATACCTATTTTTGTATGTTTGTAATGAATAGGCTCAAAAAGTACTGGGCCGATTTAAAAAATTCTTTCACCAATAGAATGCTACATTCTTCCAATTTGACATAGGCTACATTTCATTTTTGAAAAAATTAAGGATCCTTGGTAAAATTTGAACAATGTAACCGAAGGTGCAGAAAAATGAGTCTTAATTACATAATTATTGGATTGTTGTAGTGACATCACTACAACAATCCAAAATTTCCAAAAATAAATAATTGTGTACCCCGTGCGAAGCCGGGACGGGCTGCTAGATATGTATATAGCGGTGACGTCACCACCCATTCTCTTACCGCGAGGGTCGTAAGAGACAACAAGGAATTGAATTCACAGGAACCCAGCGACTGTCGGTCTCTAATAAACGTGGTTATTTTAAACTTCGAATTCCGAAGCGTTCCGTAGTCCAGCGGTGGTCTCTCATTTTTAAATGAGCTATAATTATTAATACATAGTGCCTTGCCATCCATCTACTACAATTGTTATTGTTAACTTTTTTAAAATGGCCTATGTACGAGTTCAATACTAGTGTTACATGAACAATATTTCAGAGTAACGTGTTCTGTAAATAGGCAAGGAGAAAAGTTATGAAGCAAATTTATGAAATGGAGCAAACGACGCGAAGGGCTGGATAAAGTATCGGACGGTCACCGGCGCAAGACGTGAAATGAAGCGGGTTGTGGTAGTGCTCCACTGAGCCTCCACCGGACTTGTGAACCCGTTTTGTTTGATAAACCTAGAAATAAACTATGAACATGGTTGCAATGTCATGGAGATTGGAATTGCTTGAAACAATTAAAATATGGTAGTTGCCAAGGAATGAAAAAAAAATCTAATTAGTCCGTCAGTTAGATAATGAAAAATAATTAACACGTACTTTTTTATTTTCTCGTATAAAGTTACAAAACTTAGGTCGTTACGTCACAAAGTGCTACAAAATGTAGCGCATTGTGACGTCACACAATATTTCAGATTAATATGTCGTCAAAAGTTTTTAATTTTGTGAAAAAGAAAAAATACGTGTCTAATGTTTTAAATATTAATCTACCAGACGGACATTAAAATAAAATTTAGGCAACTACCCTATTGTAATGACAAAGAAATTATTCTATTTAGGTACAAGAATTTAACCCAGAACCAATAATTATTTATTATTAGCTTCTGCCCGCGACTTCGTACGCACAATCCCGTTTTATCCCGTTCCCGTAGGATTTCCAGGATTTTTTTCTGTCATAAGAACCTTCTCCTGAGAATAACAAACACAACAAAAATAAAATCAGCCAAATCGGTCTAGCCGTTCTCAAGTTATGGCGTGGTAACGGGAAACGGGTTTCATTTTTAAAATATAGATTTGTAGTAGGTGTATCTACTATCAGGCTAACGAAGCAACAATAATATAACATAATCTTTAAGGATTTGGTCGTCATTACTTTTCCTAGTATTTAAATCACTCTTAATTTTAGTGGCCTTAAAACGCTGTCGCTTCTATCGAACTCATCCAAATGTTATCGGAGGCGTCGGCTGAGCCAACTTCAATCACTTTACCGGATCCCGTCGGAGAGGTGTAACGAAATGCTTGCCCAGCACGTGATCAGGAATCGGGATCGACCCAATGAATAGCATCTACAGCTAATGCGAAATACATACATTTTACTATAAATAAACCCATGTTGCTTATTGTCCACGACATGTGCTTGTTACAGTGTAATGACCTTACATTACACCTTTACATTATTTATGTCGGGTCTGCAAATGTAATTAAAACTTAGCTTTGATTTTATCTGATTTATTTGAGTGTACACACAAAATAGTGGGCTTCAATAAAAAAGAAAAAGTGAACGTTCGATAAAAGGTGCTCCGCTACAACTTTCCTCATCACCTAACAAAATATGTTTCCTTTGCTTTAACTACGAATCTGAATAATTTGTCCTTTCAATAAAATTGAAACGGTAAACAGTTTTACAGACTAGTGATTGGCACTGAAATTGAATTTTTTATTTAATTTCACTTCAGACGCAATCTTTAAGCTATAATTTCATCTGCGTCTAAGGACCATTTTCCATCTAGCAAAAGACTTTATTTCCTGTGCCTAGTACCTAACCAGTTAAGCAAAGATGTAAAATTCGTTAGACTTCACAAATTGCATTGCGACTCAATAGAATTTAATATCTAATCAATGTTTTTCCAATAAAGTGGTTGGCCACTTTTCGGAATAGAAATCTGTTTTTGGTAAAGTTAAAAGTTGTTGGGGCCTTATTAGGAAGCAATTTATTTTACTTTGATCTGCACTTTAGTATCGGGTACGATTGGTTTATGAATGTTTTAATAGTTATCCACAGTACAGCTACTCAAAATACAAAATACAATATAGGTAGGTACCTAAACAAGAGGTGACTCTATGCAAGATGTAGTGATGAAGTATCTAATCCAAAAAAAAAAACACTAAATAATATTTCATTTTGATTCTGCTTCGCCAGCCAAGCCAGCCCTTTGTGATTTAGTGTAACCTCGATGTAACTAATAAGTACCTACTTATATTGTCAGAGCGTATAATAGGCATTATCGAGAACGGAGAATTTTCCACATGACTGCAAAATGCTGGATTAACAATGCAAGTCTATATAAAACACGTGATCGTCAACGGCATTTTTCAGTTGCTAACGTATCATTCATGTACGCTGCCATCAGCACATAGGTTGCAAATAAGGCAATTTTAAATAGCATTAAATAAACTACAAAGTGAACACTACTAGAAGAATTTTCTTCAATAAGCCTTTGCAATTTAATAACATTTTCAAGGACTTTCTTCTTTTTGTGTTAGTAAACATGGACAATATTGGTTTCGTAGTTGATGAGAACCTGCCAGTGATAAGTGATGTGACATTAGAACACGAGCCGCGCTGCGTTGCTGTGTACAGGAGCGGCTCTAGGATTGATGTCCCGTCATGTTCCTGTCGAGAGTATTGTGGCACCATCGTACCTGTATACGGCTTGTGAGTACAACTTCGTCACTTAGCGCTACCCTAAAGTTGATCGTTATAGAACTTGTGCCGATATTTGTACCTAACAGTTAAGTATGATGTTCTTTTTAAGCGGAAGCAAATGAAAATAATATTAATAAACCAATTAACTACAAAGGTATTTTGATTTTTTTTATGGTACCTATTACACTTTTTTGTAATTACCTGTTTAGTAATTACTTGGGTACGGATTGATTTGTTAATTTTATAAAATTATTAGGTACTGGAGTGTGATCAGAAAGCCTTAGGTGAAGCGTCAGGAAGGTCTGTGAAGCGCGCGCGGAACGCGACGACCTAGAGAGCTGACTGAGCTGAGCCACCAAAGTAAAACTGCATGTGATTAAAATTGTTAAAGAAGGAACCGTTAAGTTGCATTATTTTTATACAAGGTCATTTCTTTTTCTTATTATTTTTAGTTACATTTAATGTGTGCCATGCGTGGTCCACCCATGCCACGGATGGAATACCAAAACAAATCTTATCTGTAAGATTATGGTATTTGTTATGTTGGCGTTATTACCATTTCGAATTTTATTCTTATTCTAATACTTACGCAATTTTTAAGGCCTATTTTACAGATCCCCTGTTTTGTTTATTTACAAAGGATAGGCCAGATGTTTGAAAGTGAGTAGCCGTCACTAGTGGCATCTACCGTACAATTTTTAAACCTAATGAAGTAGTAATACCAGAAATCAGAAATAGATGGCGCGGTTTTAGTGTTACCAGTTAATAATGTATACCAATTTTAACCAGAAATATATAATAGGATCCACTTTATTTGTTTGATAGGGTTCCTTTCAATGATCAAAATCGTTCCAGATATTTTGGACTAATATTGGGTATTAATTGTGGTCGTTATTATTTTTGGATCCTTATATAAATAAAGAATTATCCTTTCAGCGACATCTACCACGCTGTACCGTGAGACTGCTTCTTTTTACTAATGCAACTTGGATTCTGAATGTATTCCCGAGATAGTACCTAACGTAGCAGACAATATTTGCGTAGAGAAATATAGATGTCGTGAGGATTAAATATTTGTAACTTGTTTTGAAAGATGATGGATTTGTTGAATTTTATCTGTTTGAAACTGAAAAACGATATTTAATTTTACTACTCTTCTAATACTATTGAGAATAAAGTGTATTGGTTATAATATATTTATGACTACTATGACATTCGAATTCGAATTAAACTTTTGTAGACTTAATCTAACATTACGACTTATTGGCTAAAAAGGCTATGATCAAAGTCGGAAATTAATGGAATAGTTCAAAATTTAAAACTTGTGGATTTATTATTTAAATAGAGGTTGTTTTGTTTTCGAAGAATTCATTTTAATTTTTATTGCATTGTGTTAAGGGTAGATTGTAAGGAACTATAAAATGTAAGTTGTGAACGTTGGTACGTATTTTTATTCTATGGGATTGTAATATTGTATTTCAAATACCTTATTCATTACTCCTACATTCAAAATAGATGTTTCTTCTGTATCCTGATGAAAGTATTATAATTACCCGGGTTTTAAATTAAATAATTGACGTATTTATATACGCATGCGCTTCCAGTACGTTCCGAAGTGAGCCACGACTGCTACAGCTAGTACTAAGTGTGAGGTTGCAGCCAGCACATTTCCAACTATTCAGTTGTCGGCGTTACGCTACAACGGTGGTCAGTGCGAACAGGTGCGCGACTTTGCTGTTTGCGGCCACTACTCGAAACCCATAAATTATCACTTAAACGAGCTCCTGTTTCAAGAAGGTAAGTTAATTTATAGTTGGAAACTCTTTTTTAATAGTTTACTGTTAGGTCACTACTTATTTTCCGCAACTCAACTGTTCACGTAACTAGGCAATAAAGTTCACAGCAAACTATTTAGTTTGGAAGAAAGTGCAACTGTTGAAACTATTCTTATTTGCCAATGTGACTGTGTGCAGGCTTTTAATTGCATGATATGGTTTCTTGCTTTTTTTTAAAGTTTCTTATTTTATTTTTTGTTGATGTTAAGTTGGCATGAATCAGCAGCGGGGTTTGCTGAATGGTGGCTCTTACATATGCCTCGGTGAAGTATACCGGGGTACCACAGTGCCCAACAAAAAGAGTAATGTTAAGAAAATCCTTCGCCTTGGAGGGGCAGCTAAGAAGAAATTAGACCCCTATTTTGATGATTGTGTATCTGATATGACTGAGGTGTTGACGGAGTGAGTACTCTGCCCTTGCATGTGCTTCATCTGCTTGTCACATTTTTTATTATCACCTAGTCCACATACTAACCTTTCTAATTTCTTGCATTTGTAGGTAGATACAAATAGATAATTCTTGTAGTACCTAATCTTTTTTTATATTTTCATTTTAAGGTAGTTGTAAGTAGGAAAAAAGAAAAGTAGTAAGTATAAAGTCAAATAACTGTCCCATTCTTTTTTCTTGTACTTATTACATTAATTTACTAAAAGATGAAGATCCTTCATTACTTTACATGTATACATAGATCCACAAAACATTATCATATCCATGAATATGTAAGGCACATATCTTGATAAAGTTATTTCTAGGCAAAAACCTACATTATTTCAGTATTTTTTAGTAAATTAGTCTGGAAATAACATGTCATGTGGAATGTAACATTGCACCTGTTATCTACATTTTATGGTATACAGGATTATAATATTAATTATTTTGGGATAGGTAACACATCCATGTAGTCCAAATATTTTAAAACATAAGTTATTGAAAAAAATGAACAATTTCAGGTAGCTTCACATTCTGATGTCTGCTAGTACATTCGACGTACAGTTTTTATAATCCATATTTCTTTGGTACAAATGGCGACGAAGCCAAACATTTAGTACGATAAATCCTAACGCCTATTGTTACTGACAATTTCGAAACTCAAATATGTTCTCGATGAACTAGAGTTCGAATCGCGATGATTACCATCTGGGAATGCGACCCACTTCACTCACTTACGACAAAATGAACATAATAATTGCACTTTTCCGTGTCGGTTTTAATTTGGAAGAAGCATTTTTTACTCGGAAAATATTTATCCTGATCGATTTCGTCCCAAGCAACTTGACTAGGCCTATCGAGAACCCGGTTGTTGCAATCTTAGGTGATTGACGTAGGTATTTTCTACATTGTATGCGCTTCCACATAATTTGCTAGTAAGCAGTGCTCCAACGTTATATTACTTATTTAAATTTGGATCTCTGGTCTGGTCGAGTCTTAAGTCCGAGCATCACGCTTCTCTTTCTATTAGACGTCGATTTTCCAACTCGAGCACTAGTGGTCACGATCTATAAGCATAGTGACCAATTAGCAGGTAATATCGCTCATTTTTAGGGTTTCCCGTCTCATATGGCGCTTGAGCACATCTTTGAAGTACAAGACGCGACCACTTTGTTTTTGATTACCATCCTGCAGATCCGTTTAGAAACAGATTGAATAGTCAGACATCCGGGAAACGTGGCTGACCCACCGCAGCTGACGCCGCATTAGATAAGCCTCTCTTACACCGACATTTGGTTGTCGTAGTACACAAAGCACCGCAAATTAGTTCGTGGCGCTACACATCGACACAACTATCATTTACACAATATACATGTGTGGGTAATTTCATATCAATAGATATGTATAGAAACATTCGTCTATCACACACATCTTGGTATTTAAATATCATTTTTGTGTCGGTATACGTAATAATTTAGTAAATAAATTTAAATAAAAACGAGGGTAAAGATAAAATGTCTCAAAACAAACTTTGAATAAATCGAAATCAAAGGTAATGAACGATCGAGCTATACAATACCCATATAAATATAGTGCTTTCTCATTGTAATTTTATGTTACTGAATGTTATACAATATTTCGAGGATCTCATCTACAGCGCGCTTGGCGCAATGGTAATCGCCTCCAATTGTCAAGTAAAAGTGGCGCCGGATCGATTCCAGCATTCACATGTTGTTTTAGTATTAATTTATCAAATATTTGAAATTTGAAATTGGAAACAATTAAATCTTTTCTTTTTTTCCTATCCTATTGTTCTAAACCTTATGTTAATTTTAATAGTAAATACTTTAGATTTATTTATACCTATAATATCTTTTATTTATATTTTAGTTCTAGTTATTTATTATTTAGAATAATCTCAAAACAGTAAAAAAAGTAATTAACTGTGATTTCTTAATGGTTCGATACCTGAGTATATTTGCAATGTTTGTGGCGACAATGTTATAAAAAATAGTATTGTTTTTTTTGCTTCTTTTATAGCCTGATATTTATATTTTATGACAAAAAACAAAAAAAAATTAATAAGAAAAATAACAAGGTAAAATAAACTTTTAGCTGGAATAGAACCCACATCGTTGATCCTTGAAAGACATTAACTAATCGACCACGAGCACTACGATATTAACAGTGAAAATGTCGGGTCATATCAATGATTGTAAATAGTTTTAACCTTACCTATGCATTAAATTATAAAAATACGTATACCGACACAAGAATGAAAATACCAATGTGAACGTGGTGGACGAATATTTTTATACACAGTAATATGAAATTACCCACACATGTACACTGTGTAAATGACAGTAGTGTCGATGTGTAGCGCTGCAAACTAATTAGCGGTGCTTTGTATACTTCCGTAGTACGCACACAAAGCAACCAGTCCATATTCATGGTGTTAGCATTAGAGTAAATAGACAGCCAAAGATATGGCAAATTCGACTTATGATGATTAGTTGTTACCTAAAAAATTGCCTAACCGGAATGGGCTCGACAGCTCAATAGATAGTAATAGTTAACCAATTTCTTCCTCAGATAGTTTGGTGAAGAGCCCTGGAATAGAAATGTGTGCTAGGAACGTATCTATGTAAGTTTTGTTCCAAGCGTTGCACGTTTACTGCAAGAGTTTGTTTTAGACAGTCCAGTCTACAGTCTACATCTGGTAACTCTTGTTGTTCTAAGGTACAAGTGGGTTTACATCAGAGGTCAACTCATAGTTCCATCACTGAACAGACTTTATTTTTTACAATCGACGATTCGGCTAGGCGGCCGATCTATAACATATACCTAGTTACATTATTTTACGCCATCGCATCACGGCCTTGGTCAGGGACCCCAGTCGTTATTTGAGACCTTCCTGTTACATTGGTAACTACTTACGATTTCCACCGCTCTAAAATGGTCTTGACTTGGTGATTACCCATCGCATCGGATAAGTAGGTCAAAATGGTAAATGGGTTGCGGGATAGACTAGTCTTCGATCCATTGAGACATTTAAGTAATTCAAATTAGGATCTTTACAAACTAATAGGTATTTTAGTGTCGCTAAATCAAATAGCGAGTGTTCTTTACTGTGTCCCTTTCCGCTATACAGAAAGAACAATTCCAAGATTAATTAAACCGCCGCAAAGCGTTCATTTGGTGTGGTGCATTATAACTAGTTAGAAATTAGTCAAACTATTTATTAATTTCTAATCCATTAATAGACTCTTTCATTAATTATACATTCTAGATATGTGCCTACAATTAATTGTAACACTTCATGGCCCATATATCGTATGCTACATACCCTGCACTATTTCAGAAATACCATTGAAGATCAAGAAAAGCCGGCTCCGAAAATGCCTATCAGTGCTGAAGAGACCGCTCTACTCGGGTAAGTAGGAATCACTCATTATTCATAAAGGTCTTTTTATTTATAACTTTTCTATTAAAGAAATGATCACTCCGAGACCGAGCGAAGTACTCTCTTGGTTTGTTCATTTTCTGTATTTCTGCGAAGTAGGTGCTAAATTATGCAAAGGTATTTAATTTGTAAAAACTTAAAAGTTTGCGGACTGTTTGAGTCCTTTGTATCTGCCTAGTTATATAAAGGCTTTTTTAGTTGATTATTTGATGTTAATTAATGAAATGGATTCTCGTTTGCTACCCAACCGACACACGGCCTGTTGCGCCGCAGTCTGCCATGTCTAGCGCCATTACGCTAGTAAATAAGATGGAGCCGGAGGAGGACCAAGCGACGTCACTTCCGATTTTCATTAGGCCAAAGTAGAACACGATCGTTTCACTGAACCTACCTACGCTTCTACTCGTACCAACGACCATAGCGTACTATTTACTTTGTAAGCCCGCGTCTAGTTTTGAGTGAATTAACTAATTCACAGTTTGATCTGCACTGAATTAGTAGGTACTTATCTCATCTATACCTACTAGGGTACAAAGACCTCGTTGGAATATGTTTTTAATTAATCATTCTTTATCTAGTTGAAATACCTTTAATGTAATTGTAACAGAGAGGTTAAAGTAAATAACAACTAAGCAATTTAATTCTCGCGACTAAACTGCACATCGCTGCATCGTGCAACGTTGATCGGATTATAGGGCAATTACAGCGCGCTGTGCGTTCACCGACCTAATAAAACGTACCAATACCCATACTACTTCACACTACACTAAATGGAACACACTGTATTTCTTCTTGATTCAATTAATGTAATCCCTATATTGACAAAGTATTTTTTTCGTTATTTACTGTCATTTAGTTCAATCGATTCCATGCAATACTATTCCTAGAACGTATCATGTTGCATTTATTCAATATTGAGCTTTGTTCTGAAGGATTTACAGTCGAGTTTTGTAACAAAGTTTAAATTCTGTTCTTGTTACAACGCAATTTGCGTCGTGCGAAAACCCGACCGCTTTTGAAATAACGCTTTAAATACACATATTGACTAGCTATAATGAACTCTACGATGCGGCGATGTTGAACAGTAGCTGAGTCGCTAATCGTATTAGAATTCGCTTACTACGTCGTATGCAACATTACGTTACGTTAGACTTAGAGCTAATCTAAATACCGTCATTGAGAACATAGTTTGACAACATTTAATTTTATCTACCTAAATAATAATTAAGAACACAACAGTATTATGTGCCGAAGTACCAGGTTCGAGGTAAAATTAACTACAGCCAGTGTTGAATAACTTTGGCTTCATCGAATAATCAAACCGTAATTGAGTACCGTACTCTTATTTAAAACTTTTTGTGAACCATCAGGTTCAAAGTCAAACAATTCTAATAACAGGAGCCTGATGTTTCCCCGTTGTAATACCATTGAAACATACTTAAACCACTGTGTGTTTCTATCAAACGTTTGAATAAAATTTGCATTTTGAACTGAGATTTGTGTTTTCTACTATTTAATAAAGTCGATTACAAGAGTTTAGTGTTCATAGCTGACGGAACTATATACTATTTTTTTTAATACAGTTGACATAACAAAGGTTTGAGGTTTTCTTTCACGTAAATTCAACTTAAACTGTCAAACACCAAGCGGTCACCGGTGACCGCGACCTATTGTTCTTTAATTGTGTCTATAAAACCGGTATTCGACGAGTTAATATACATATTAAGTTAGTTCTAATTGCAGTGCTCTTATTAAAAATATGTAGTACACGGGAATTATATTCCCTGTAGACGTATAGCTCTGAAAGGTATGTAGGTAGATTAATGTATACCTGCCTTTAAAAACTTTTCCACTCCTTTCTTTTGCGAATATTACTTAACAAACAATTCTCGTATACAAAACTTCAAGCTCCCTTTTCAACCACAAAGCTAAATTTTCGGAATTCCTGAAATTAGACGCATAGTTTTTTTTAACTGAAAGCAAAGGATTTCTTTTTATTATGAAAGAAGTTAAAAAATTCGGGACTTGTGTACACAAAGCACCGCTAATTAGTTGCAGCGCTACACATCGACACAACTGTCATTTACACAGTGTACATGTGTGCGTAATTTCATATAACTGTATATAAAAATATTCGTCCACCACGTTCACATTGGTATTTTCATTCTTGTGTCGGTATACGTATTTTTATAATTTAATGCATAGGTAAGGTTAAAACTATTTACAATCATTGATATGACCCGACATTTTCACTGTCATTATCGTAGTGCTCGTGGTCGATTGGTTAATGAGCACGCTTTTATCGTCTTTCAAGGATCAATGATGTGGGTTCTATTCCAGCTAAAAGTTAATTTTATTTTACCTTGTTATTTTTCTTATTTTTTTTTTTTGTTTTTTGTCATAAAATTAAATATCAGGCTATAAAAGAAGCAAATGAGTTGGTAAATAAAACAATACTATTTTTTATTACAATTAATTTATGTATTATACAAATATGTTGTTTTATATTCAATATTTATATCTAATAATTAATTATATACCACATGTTAAGTTTAAAGTTCTTTAAATCATAATTAATAGATATGACAATAAACCTCATAGTCGAATCGGGAAATATCATGCGGTACAGCGGTAATACGATGGCAGCAACATTTTTTATTAAGTAGGTAATAAACAAATATACAACATTCTTGTTTTGTAATTTAATAATATAATGTATTATTAAATTACAGTTTTACAGTAATAAACAAGTAAAACATGTAAAAAATTACACTGTCAACATAATATTTCTTGAAATGGGCGACTTTTTGTCGTTTGAACTTCCATTAATTATCTATTTTACGACGGTTGTTATAAGGTTCAATATTCAGTGGGCTGTATGATAGTAAAAAGAATGTGACGAATGCTATGGAACGATTTTAACTTTCATGACCTTTAGAATCAGGGAAACTTTAAATTAATTGAAGATGGGCGTAAATATAATATGTCAATCAAGTTCGAAAGCAGTTAAATAAATTTGTTAATGAAAAATTAAAGTGAAGTGAATAAACATGTTGAATAGAAAGAAATTATGATAATTTCTAACCACAAAACAATAACATCACTTCACCGTATGTTCTAGACAGCATTTTAATATTCTTAAAAAAATTAAACATTATTTTATGTTAATTTTAATAAAGGCAGAGTTTGACAGGCTCAATAATTGATTCCGAAATCAATACAATCACTGATCCTACAAGGCAGAAGGTTGCAATTCGTATACCTTTCTCCATCTTTTCTTCACAATATTTTACGCCCATCCTTATCCGACTTGAAAGTCTTTTCGTCGCTCAATATGATTACACTGTTCGCCCAATCAAAATTAATAAAGTCCTTAGCAAATTCTTAGCGCTTTTGCTGGTGAACCACAGATAACAATATTTTCTTCTCTGGCTTCCTGCACCTTAAACCAGAATGCAGGTGTCTCCGTACAGTTTGTATTAAAACATTCAGTGCTGTCGCTGTAGTGCGGGTTGGCAGGAACGGATCAGCCATGTGCCTGGCTACGATGTCGTAGTGCCGAGCCGATGAATTTGCCTTTGGTTTAGGCCCACGTCGACGATGTTTAACGTCACCGGTCTCCGCATATCTGTGCACCCATAACTGCATGGATCTCCTCTGTTGATACCAAACAAATAAGTATTTAAAATACCAGGAAATACTTTACAGGAATTAAAGTTACTTAAAAATAATAATAAATATAAGTAAACACAATGTTAGAATAATAATTTATAATTAAGTAGTGGCGTAAGGAATAAAAATCCCTAACCAGGTATGTTTTAAAGAAACACTCCTAACAAAAACAAGTCAAGTTACAATACAATTAATAATAAATTATTAATATATCTTTATAATATTGAACTTCATAATAAGTTGCAATAATTATTTTATTCTAGTGCAAAAATTTATAGGTGTGTCGAGTTACAAAATGAAATAAATATTATTTAGAATATCAACGTAGTATCTTATTTACTCACCGATATCATTAAACGCCTTGCTATTTCAGTTATTGTTAGTTATGTTTTGCTCATGCAAAACAATGGTTTCAGCCTTTTTAAATGTTGATAGGTGTTGGAACATCTTGTAAAAATAAAAATAACTTTGCACACGAATATAAGTAGTGTAGCAATAAACTATGAAATCCTCATAAATTGACAACTAAGAACGCAATTATTTTGTAAGTCGGGTGATTTGAAAAACATGTTTTAAATAGTCGGTAGTTACTTCATAAGCGTGTAAAATAAAATGACTCGAGATTTCTATGGTCGCCACAAACATTGCAAATATACTCAGGTATCGAACCATTAAGAAATCACAGTTAATTACTTTTTTACTGTTTTTATCTTATTTAAGTTGGTTGAAATGCATGAAGCAAATGAGATTATTCTAAATAATAAATAACTAGAACTAAAATATAAATAAAAGATATTAAAGGTATAAATAAATCTAAAGTATTTACTATTAAAATTAACATAAGATTTAGAACAATAGGAAAGGAAAAAAAAAAGATTTAATTGTTTCTAATTTCAAATTTCAAATATTTGATAAATTAATTCTAAAACAACATGTGAATGTTGGAATCGATCCGGCGGCACTTTACTTGACAATTGGAGGCGATAACCATTGCGCCAAGCGCGCTGTAGATGAGATCATCGAAATATTTTATATCATTCAGTAACATAAAATTACAATGAGAAAGCACTATATTTATATGGGTATTGTATAGCTCGATCGTTCATTATTTTTGATTTCGATTTATTCAAAGTTTGTTATGAGTAATTTTATCTTTACCCTCGTTTTTATTTAAACTTATTTACTAAATTATTGCGTATACCGACACAAAAATGATTTTTAAATACCAAGATGTGTGTGATAGACGAATGTTTCTATACATATCTATTGATATGAAATTACCCACACATGTATATTGT